CTCATTGTTTTCATATTGAATTATTTAAAAAACATTACTTGTGATAACATATTTGTTAAAAATTGCTAAATCACTTTTTTGGGAAAGGGGCATGCAAAGAGATTTGTGGTAGAAAAATTCTAATGATATTTATTTGAAGCTTAAAGTATACTTTAGTATATATGTTGAAGAGGCAAAACATTATGATCACCTACTCAATAACAATTTGTAAAACAACTGCAACTCGCCTTTGCATGGATGCCACATGTTCTTGGTAGATGGCTGGAGACAGGCTGTACCAAATGTCTAAGCAGTGGTCATGCAAAGTCAAGATATTTTGATAGGGTAGTGTTTGAGTTGCTGCATGACATCCCAGATGTACTCTATCCACTTACGATCTAGTGAGTTAAGTGGCCAGGACATTTATTGAAATCCATGCTTATGCTTCTCAAACCACTCCAGCATAATTTGAGCGACATTTCTTGTGTTCAGTTTTGTGCACTGAAAAGTATGTCTTTCTGCCCGCTGGCCGAATTGCCTGTTTTGCATAGAAATTCTAATCTTGGTTTAAAAAAAAAAAATGTTTTAAAGTGTTTTGGTGTTTTATATTTTCCTGTGTTTTACAGTTTTAATTGAAGGTGTCCTTAATTTTTTATATATTTTGCCGTGCTGCAAATTTGGAACTGAATTAGTTGAATGAGAAATATATCTCTAATTAAATTTGAAGGAATGAGTGTGTGCATCGTATTTTTTTTTTCTTTGGGTGTGTTCCGTTAATTCTTTGTCTTCGATATCAGAATTTTTGGCTGCTGTTGGAAGTGTTTTGATTAAATCAAGTCCCATATTGACTGTAATAAGTGCTAACTTTTTATATGTGTATAATACCCAGGATTATTTTGTACCAGTTACTTGTGATTCTACACTAAAGAATATATTTTGTACCAAAATATTAAAAACAAGGAGGGCCATGAAGTGATTCAGAACTTAACTTCACTCCATAGGGCTACCCAATCTGCTTTGGGACTCACTTCTGTTGATACTGCCCTCCTCCATTTTCTTTGTCTTTCTAACTTTATCATAAAACATTGTTTTCTGTGCACCTAACGCACATAAAATTCAACACTAAAATCACAAAGTATTTAAAAGCAGCTCCTTAAAGCAGCTAGCTATAGGGCTCCTGTTAGAGAATTAAGCATAGATTTTTTTATTTTTTTCTTTTTCAGTCTTTCATCTGCTTGTTATATCAATATTCAGTTTTTTTCTCACGAACACACACCTTTTCTATTTATTTATTAGTCCAAAGGGGGCAATTTGCCCAGAAAAACTATCGATTTCATTTTGGCATTTTGCATTGATTCACGATAAGTGTTTCACTTTTCAAGCTGTTGCTACCAAATATTATCTCCCTGTCATCATGTGTTTTGCTGGCCGTATACTGCATGGCTGTCTTAGTTATGAAACTTGGCTTTCGCCAGACATTAGAGTTTTTGCCGCATAACGTGGACGGAAATTAAATAATTAAGAATCTGCATGAATGTATGCATGTTTCTCGCATTGTGATAAAACAATGGTAATTAGAGCCATCAAAATTTGAATAATGTAATTTTCCATTGAATATAGGCATGTGGAAGCCCTAATTTGAACTTTGTTTTATTATTGATTTCATATTTAGTAACACTTTAATGAATTTTTGGTTAACAAACTCAATGATTTCAAAGCGAGCAATGGCAACAGTGTACGAAAAAATCGGAAATTCTAAAGATATGCTCATTTTAAAATTATTTTGCGATATTGCTATTGAACTGAATTTTATGGTTTAAGTATAAATATAGTTTTAGTATGGTGTTGATGTACTACTGGAAGGTTCACTGGCTATCAACATGACAGGTTTTCATAAAAGTTTTAACTATAAGACGACAAATTTTAAACTTTTATCAAAAAAAGGGAAAACTATGTGGTCTATCAGATGAAGCATTTTGCAGAAACATTGCATTTTTGTCTGATTTTATCACAAAACAAAACAATTTAAATATTTGAAAAATAATATTTGCAAGGTAAAACAAAGCATAAATATGAAATGTGGCAAAAGAGCCAAGCATACATTTTTCAAAACATTGCTCTCTTGCTCAGATATATATCTTCAGTACGCTTCCAGAGCTAGCCCAAATGTTGAATGACCAAAAATGTAAAATAAAACATTCGATGAAGATATAGGTGTCTTGGATTTTTTTAATGGAAAAATATGCTGAAAGATTTTCAGATTTTGATTAGCACACTTCTTTTACCACATTTTAATTGAATTTGGTCTCTAATATGCATTTAGAGTAATGGCTTTAATTCTGATAACATCATGACGTATTGTATGCTCTTTGCAATTGAAAATTTTCTCTATGTGTCCACGATTGTAAGTGTTTTGTCTTTAACAAGAGAGTCCAGGCTAAACTCAAAAGTTCTTTTAATTAACATTAGAACGGCGGTAAAGTGTCGTTTTGACCCTTCGATGAACATACTGAAATAACAACGGTAAAACAATTTTAAATGCCATGCATTGGCACAAATATGTACTTTATATGTATTTCATAATTTATATTTAATATTGCATGATAATTTATTGATTTTTTAAAATACTGTACATGTATCGAGTACATGGCGATCAATTGGATCATACTACAATTACTCAAATAACTCATTAATTTGATATAAGAATTGATTTCAAATAAATGGGTCACAAATTAAAACTAATGTTAACTAAAATAAAACCCAAACTTTATATAATAATATTTTTTTATGTACTTACTTGAAGGATGAATCACTCTCTAAATCCAGAAATGAGAAATGTTGTATGATATTTCAGTTATTTCATTATATGTGTAGCTGAATGGAATATGTAAAGCATTTCGTTTCAATTCTATTTAATGTTTAAAATATTAGAGGTACACATACGTATTAAGAATTAATGCAGTTGATAAAAAAATAATTTTTAACAATTTTTCCAGTGCATTTTCCGCACACAACTTTGGAACAAGATGCACAATATTCTTGAGATTTGTTTCTATTGCATCTCTGTACCTGACACTTTTATCTCTTTATATCCATTTTCTTTTCATGTGTTCTGAAGACTCAGGAAGGATCTTTTGGGGGTTTTGAAGCCATATGTACTGCTCTTAACTCCTCTCCTAATTTCAGTAGAAAAATCTCTCCTGTTAATGTTGTTTCTTGTTACACTATTATAATTATCCAGGTGTTCAAAGCTGTGTGATCCAAAATATTGAAAAAGATTTGTACAGGCCATCGTCTAGAAGCTGATTTAACTGAATATTTTCAGCATATCTAATCACAAATATCCACACTATACTTTGTTGTGTTGTAAAATGCTATTGAATCGAGCAACTTTATGAGTCGACTATCTTCACTTTTTACAGTAGAATGTAATGAGCTCAGTAGAAAAAGTCTTGTTTCTTTTGCCTTGATAGATTGTAAATGTGATATTATCATGTTCTACTATTGTCGATAAATAAAAATTACTACACATATTTTTCAAAGATATAGGAATTTCTCTTCTGTTCTTTTTCATTGTGCCAACTATGGTTGTATTTTTTGATTTTACCATTTCTGCTAATGCTAGTAAAATAGTTATCCGTGGTAATATTCCTCCCTTTGATTTAGATGTGGCTCCATTAATTTTATGACAACATTTTCAGACAAACGTAATTCAGGATTTGCTGTTTCATCTTTTCCTAGATAAGGAAATCCATTCAAGAGGTATTTAGTATCAACTTCGACTGATAAGCAAAATTTTATTCCGAATTTGTCAGCTTTATTAGGCATATATTCTGTAAATCTCTACACCTAGCTTTAGATGGGATTTGTCTTGGCCGCTAGCATGTTTTGCAACAGGCCTTATTAAAATTTCATATAAATTTAATTTAGTTTTTATGCTGAGTAGTTTGAATTTAAGTTGTTTTTTAAGGCCATAATAACAAAAAGTTTTTTTCTGCGGTCCCTAAATATGTTCTGCTTGGCAGCTTTTTTTTTTTAAATAGACATGTTTCATGAACATTGAAATCTGGAGTGTCTTCTGCATCTTCTGTTGTTTTGGATTACTTTATAAGGAATTCTTTCGCTGCTTTACCTTTTATTTTAATGTTATACATTTCATGTCTTTTAAGAAATCAAGCAGCCATCCCATGCTTGCAAAAAAAAAAAAAAAAAAAAAAAAAAAACTTATTTTGAACAGAATGAGTCTCCACAACGTCACCTTATTCTCATTCTCTTGTGGGCCCACCAGTGGCCGAGCGGTAAAGACTGAACACTGGTAGTTCGGTCCGAGGTTCGAATCCCGCGAATGGGCGTTTTCGTGGTTCTCTCCACGTGTAATGTGTATACGAGCCAGTTTCCCTTAGTCCTCCTTGAAGGCATCCCTCCCTTTAGGCAGATAGTCTTCGTGTGCTTTGCCATGATTGAATAATCCCAATCTCATTCTCTTGTACTGCTTTTAAAATCTTAAAGAAGCCATCTTAATAATACTGCCATCTTTAGAAATTGTGTTTTTGTGGATGGCTTTTTATTCATATAACTAGACCCTTTCTCATTTTTTTTAATAACAACATCTCTTGAGTATAATGGTGATTTTGCACTAATTTTTGATCCAGAAGACTCCAATTATGCAATAGCATCTTCACTTTTTTTATGGTCTTTAATGTCTCCTAGCTGCAGCTGTTGAACCTTGTTCAATTTAAGACAATCTAAAAATGATCTTCACTAGAGCAAAATTGGCTTTTCCCCCCCTCTCATAATTTTAACGTTACCGGCATTTTAGAGTTTATATCGCAGAATATCAAAAAAATGCAGATCATGCTAGTAATCCACAATATCCAACAGAACCCCACACAAATGACTAAAGTGACTGCAAAGTTTGTTGTGATTTTTGCCTTTTTCACATACCTATTTGTGTATGCCACTAAGTACATGCAATAGTTTTGGAAAATTTTCTATGTTTTCATGAACATGTGTTTTTAAAGGTGTACGTCGCTACGAAATATTCGTGATAATGAAGAAAAAGATTCAGCTTTCCGTGGTATCTGCAGCATGATCAGTGTGAATCCTGGCGGTGTAGTGCAAGATTTTATTTTCTTCTGTGATGCTGTAGCATCGTGGGTAAATCCAAAACCTGACCTTAAGCATATGTTTCATGAGGTATGTATTCTTAATTGGTTCTTAGATTATAAAATTATTGAATTTCATTTTAGTTGTATTAATTTTTCAACTGAAGTGTTATGTCTACTAAAAACACATCTAGGAGATTTGTGTCGTATTTAGTGTGTTCATTGTCATTCCTATTATATTCCTGAAAAACTTTTATGTGAATGTCCAGAAATTTTCTTAAAATGAAATGTTTTCTGAAAATGAGATGCAATAGCTGTAGGAATTTTATTCTACAATTTACTAGATTCTTGCCAAATAATAATCATAAAATTTCTTTAGCATCAAATGACTATAAGGTTTAATTTTCTTACCCACAGATTTATGCTGGTTTTTATAAAATGCTGATTTATTTCTTTATTTAACTTTTTAGAGCATATAATGGACTGAATCCTTTATTAAATGTCCTTAAAGTTACTATTAAACTTAAGTAATTCCTTTTCCTTCTAAGTTTTCCAATGTATATTTTTCAATTTATAAAATGTGGGAAATATTAACATCAGTAAATTTTTTGAGGCAGTGGTGATATGAAACTAATTTTTGTTAGTTGTTAATCACAGATTGTTAATTATGAATTCTAATGTAGGAATGGGATTCATCTGTGCGCTAACGGCAATCCTATCAGGATGATATCAGATATTGACATTTTGATCAACTATCGGTCAGTGTAGGGTTATGAGGCATATCAGTCATGTCAAAAGCATTCTGTAGGAACTTTTAATTTAAAGTGTCAGTGTCTAAGGATATTTTATGGGTGTGTTCATTTTATGAGTTTTATTTGGACAGCAATGCTACAGAAGCTGCCCAAAAACTATGCTCCATACTGGAAAGGGTCAGTGAATGAGCACACAGCTTAAAAGCGATTTCTGTTGGGAAATGAGTCTCCAGGGTAAGCCTGAGTGTCTATCCACCATCAGTGAAGCCGTGCTAAAGGAGGAACTTGATGACAGTGGTTTAGAGTATCTGAGAAAACTATTCATTTGCATCTGCTCAACCTTGGGAAAATATAAAAGCTCAGTAAGTAGCTTAGGTGCATCGGGAAGCAGCCAGCACTAGTTGAAGGGAAAGGAGTGGTCATCCTTCGAGACTATGCCAAACCTCATAGGGTGAAAGCAATCAAGAAGGCAATCAAGTCAATTGGTTGCAGAGTTTTATTTCATGCTCCTTTAATGTCTGGACATTGGTCCATCTGACTATCAGTTGATCTTTGGTCATAGAAAACCATTTTCAGAGCAACAGCTCTGAAATTGAGATGATGTCATGCAACACATAGCACAATGTTTGACTTTAGGGACAATAGCTTTTACAAATGCAGGATTTGTAAGCCTGTAACTCATTGGGAACATGTGATTGAAGCTGAAGGAGATTACTTTGCTTAATAAAATACATAGGCATGAAATTATTAGGTCATTATTTTTCTCCGAAAACTACGGCACAAACGTTTTTGGATATACTGTAGATATCATGCATTATTAATATTCATGTATTTTTGTAGCATTATTTTTAATTTTTGAATTTAAAATAAAAGTTTGAGATATTTTTAAAATAAAATAATAATTGTTGCACAAAATATTTTATTTCTTTTTAGTATTTGCATTATAGTATAAGTGTACAAACTCTTGTTCTGTGCTTAACTTTTGCTTTGTGAAAGTGTAGCAATGAAGCTTAAAATTTAGATACTACTGTGTTTGATATTCTAATATAGAATATTTTGATGTTAATTTATGAAAATGTCAAAATTTATTTGCTCAATTTGAATATTTGTTCTTTGCTGAGATTGGCATAGGTATTACTGCTCAGTCTTCTGCTATTACTGCAAAAATTCATAATAAAAATTTAGTTTCCAATCTTGCATGAAATAACTGTGCTTTTAAGTTCTTTTCAGTTCTTATCAATATTGTTTTACTTCACTAGATCTTACACGGATTCAAAAACCAAGTAGGCGATGAAAATTGGACCAGATTCTGTGAACAGTTCCCTCCTCCTCTGAAAGAACGTTTGAGTGCTAGTTACGGTGTATGATGCTAGTTACGGTGTATGAGAAATTGTAAGTTTTGGTAAGATTTCTGCATTCTGTTCCCTCCTTCCATATCAGGACTGACAAAAAAAAAAAAAAAAAAAAAAAAAAAAAAGTTCATTGTTTTATACAAGTACTAAAGTGAACCCACTAACACAACCCTCCACACTTTCAAATCATATTGGTTTTGTTCAATATGGATCTTTATTTATATTCTCCCAAATATTTCCAAATTTATATTCCCAAATCCATTTTCAAAGATAGACATTTTAGGATGGTGCCTCCCATGAGAAGGTTCATTGTAAAGAAGTTATTGGGGATTGCAGGGATATTTTAAGACCTTTTTCACTTCCTTGTAGAAAGCAAAAATAGTATTATAATTAAAAAAAGAAAAAAGAAAAAAAAAAAAAATGGGTAATGAAAATATCCATTTTGACCGTCCTTGAATTTATTTTGAATTATCAGAAGAAATTTTTTCTGCTACATCTGTTCGTATGTATAGATCTTGCATAACTCGGAAACGAGTTTCCCGTTGAAATTTTACCTAAATTTTATGTTTTACAGTTGAAAACGTCGCATAAAAAACAACACAATGCAAAAAACATCATGGAAGAAAAGAAAGCAAAGAGAAATCATCGCAGTTCTAAAACATTGTGGTACAAAATATCGTCGTCGAAAATAAGGCAATAAAAAAGGCTTTGCAGTTTAAAAACACCAGTGTTGAAAATGTCAGGATAAAAAAAACAAAGTACATACAAACCATCTTATGACAATAAAATCGCACACGTGCACTTTTCAGGTTTTAAAAGCTGTAAATGCATATTTGCATAATGATTTGGGAGCGCAAGAAGGAAAGAGGGATAATTTTATTTCTATATTTCATATTTTTGAATGAACTGGTAAATTTTTGCTGAAAAAGGTAAGAAGGAAACTTAAGTATTTAAAAATTGAATGCGAGTAGAAAATTAATGCAACTTATAGCACTTAATAGAATTTCAAATTTATATGGTTAATTTACAAAGGTCATTAATAAATTAATCTTTTTTATAAAGTTTTACTGATAATTTTTTATGAAAAATACAGTCTAAAAATGTTTAGAAAATGAAGATAAATAACTGCATGAGGTATTTCTATAAAATTGCTTAGTTAATTATCAAATTATTTTCTTTCACATTTGTTAATCTGATATTCTGTTAGCGAAAATTATATTTTGTTTTGTTTCCATTTATTCTTAAAGTGTCATTCACATTTTCATGTAGGATTTTTTTGAAATGTAGGATTTTCATGAAACATTTTCAATTATTTGGATGCCGATTTGTTAGTTATGAGGAAAGTCGGCTACATAATATTTCAATAGGGGGATTTTGATTATGCCAAAGCACAATAGGGTTATCTGCTACAGGGAAGAAATACGTTTGTAGAGTACTCTCTTGGGGAATTGGCACATATCCACGTTTTGCATTAGAAAAACCACAAAAATTTTATGCAGCCAGCTCGTTCGCTGGATCAAAGTACCAGTGTTCAGCAGGGGAATATTAATGGATTTTTACATTAATCATTGGAAGATTCAATTTTAAAATTATACCCAGAAAATTTAAATGCGGTTTTTATAATTGCAGTGAATCCCTCTCAGAAACATTATATACCTCTAAGACAACCATTGTTCTGAGAAAAGAAATAAACATAGGTTTTAATCATCATGCAAGATTAAAAAGATACAGAATCTTGATTGTTCTTTTTGAAGAGGTTTCTTTTTATTCAACTTTACATTTAGATATTTTATAAGCACTTATAATGATTATTTAATTTTGCGGATGTATTTTATTTGAAAATTTTTTAGTTATTGACTGAAATTTTATAACATATAGTGAATCATGTTCCTAAGACGAGGACATCTGTAAGTGACCAGCATAGTTATGAAACTTTTTTTATTAAATCTCATCATTCTAAGATGACCCCAGCTTTATAGAAGGGTAAATGGTCGTCTTAGAGAGGGTTCACTCAACTTAGGTATATTTATTTTAGTAAATGTTTAATTTTTTTTATTCTTTTATGTGAAAAAAAGTTTTATTGCTTGTTCTTTCTTAACACATAATGAATCATTTCATATCAATGTCCTTTGGAAGTGACCAGTAATCGTTTTAGGATGAAAGATTATTTTACATATTGATATGTACATATTTTATCATGGCTGCTATTAAATTGTTGTGGAATTATATGACTTAGGAAAAGCAGCTTAGATAAGAATGTTTTAAAGGAAACTGGCTTGTACAAGTAATTAGAACAAAAGTAATGGCTGATTTCTTTGAGTCTTCCTTTTGCTCAGTGTTCCTTAATTTTCAGAATATTTTAATTTATGGGTGCCAGAAATCTATAGTAAAATTTCATTCATATTTCTAAGTGAGATTTTATTTTGTAATTGATGTTATCATCATGCGATGATTTGTAGTTGTGTTATTTGTTACCACAATATTTTTGACTATGATGTAAACTGCAAAGTTTTTGAATTGCTTTATTTTCACCCATGATATTTTGTAGCTGCAGTGTTTTTCTCTCCATGATGTTTTGCATTACAACGTTTTTGCCTTGTGTTTCTTTTTACCACAATGTTTTTGGCAGACATCAAATTTTGTATATGGGATTGCTATAATATTTAGTTGTGCACCTCCCTTTTTTGTTGCATTCAGCCACACCATATGTATATTTATGACATATTTATATATATATTCCTGCCCTGTGCCTGGCTTGGGGAGCTCAGTATTTTTATTCATATATTGGGAAATTGTGCACTTTTTCCTTTAAAAGTGGTTGAATTGTATTGTTTTTATGTACTGGTTCTTTTACTTAATTTGCATGCAATAAAGTTGTAGAGTTATCAATAGTTTAAAAGTTTAAGTGGCAGTAGGCCTAACATAGCTGTTTGTTTACACTTAAAACTCTTAAGTCAGCTGGTGCACCAACTTTAGGGTTTTTTTTTTTTTTTCGTCTGTTGGGGCTAAAGATAAAATTCAATTTTGTGCACTGAAAATTTGGTCTTCCTGTCTATTGGCCAAATTACTTGTGTTTGCATTGATGCTTCCTGTAGAGACAAAAATTCTCTCTCACTTAATGATTGTCTAGAAATGGGTCCAAATTTGTTGAAACAAATTATTCCTATAATTTTAAGATTCCACAAGCATAATAGGAGTTATTTCAGTCATAAGAAAAGACCTTTCTCGCAAATTTTGCCAAATAAGAATAATTGAGATTTCGTATACAGTGATCAAACACCAGGTGTCAGTACTAATAAGTGTCGATAATTAAAGTGAGAAAATTAAATGCTTTAACTTTATTTGTATATACATTTTTTTGACTGTTTTTGGCATTTGAGAATTTTCTGTATTTTACAAATTTAATGAAGGTGTATTGTGTTTTTGTGTATTTTTGCCTTGCTAAAACACACTGAAACACATGTAATAATACAATCTAAATTGTTCAATTATAGATACATTCTTAATGTATTAGGCAGGTGTTTCTAGATTATATAGATGTCATTTTATTAATCCATAAATAGGTAGAGGATCTTAAGTGAAAAGGTAAATAGTTTCCTACAACATGGCAAAAACATTTATTAAATTTACTTTTTAACATGTAAACACATTATGCTTAAGTTTGTAATTATCTTTCTTAGAAAGGTATGAAGAGACTTTGAAATTTCTTTGTAGCATTTCCAGAATTATATATTTAATAATGCATTTTCTTTTGAATATATTTTTATGATTAGAGAGAGTGAAATTAAAATGTGTTAAAATACAGTTTTATGTATCCTAAATGATATAACGAAACATAAATAGTCTAAAATTTGCAGTGTAATGTGTAATTTTAATGGGCAGCTGAAATTTGACACCCCAGACACATTTAATGCTTTTTACGTAATTTTTTTAACCTAGAAATGTATCTGCATTTTCTGCCTGGGATTACATGAGCACACTGGTGCACAAAAATTAATGATGAAGTTGGAAAATTAGCTTACCAGCTGAACGAAGAGGCAGAGCGGACTAAAAGACTAACAAGAAGATTGACTAGGATCAGGTATGGTGTAGATATGCAGCTAGATGTCAAAGGGGAGTGTTGAAGGAGTATAAAGGTCACTGGTGGTGAGAACTCAACATTTATGGGAAGCTATTGCATGATGTATGTAAGTTTAAACAATGTCGAGTTCTAGCCTCAGTATGAAATCTACAACAATCTGTTAGACGACGTCTGGATGCTTTTACCCGAGGCTGAATCATTGGAAAGACAGAGGAAGGACAAGTGTGGCTGTTGGGTTCAAACTACTCATAGCATCGTTTCACGACTTTGGAGATCATTTCAAATTACAGAAACAGCTGTCTGAATGGTTCAAACAGTGACTATCCATGAGCAAACACAGTAGCAGATCACTGGTGTATTGTTATGTAGGCAAGAAGGAACAGGCAGCAAACAGCGAGAGAAATCTTAAGGCATATGGAACAGGTGATTGGATGACCGTTATTGCATTTTACCATGGCCAGGAAGCTGCACAGTGATGGTCTGTTGGCATGATGACCTGTACAGTGTATACCATCAAAGCCTGCAGCGTGGATTGGCTGGCAAGGTCTCTGGATCTAAATCTCATCAAGCATGTATGGGACTTTCTAGGAAGACACGTGGTATCATGTAACTTACCACCAGTAATGATTCTGGACCTGTAAATTGTCACTAGAAGAGGAATGGGCAGCAGTGCCTCAACAGCTCATTGACAATCTTATACCCAACATAGACATATGATGTGAAACCTGCATAGCAGTCAAAGAAGACCGTATTCCTGCTAAAAACTCTTTCTTGCTGGACACCTGTCGCATGGATGTTTCAACCTTCTGTCACATTGTGCTCCATGCTACTTTTTCAATAATGTTACTTTTTATCCTTTTAATTTCTTTTGGGGAAGATTTTGCTTATATTATCCATGTTCTTACATCTTGCAATGGTATTATTTGTGTTGATTTGGAAAGCTTTTAACTGTCTCGTCCTTAGTTTTTGCAAACCAGTGTGTGTGTGTTGCTTAAAAAAATGCTGTAACATAAGATGCTGTAACACAAGAGATGCTGTAACATAAGAGATGCTGAACAACGATGCTGTAACATAAGAGTTAAAAAAATTTTGTGACTGTACTTCATTGTTAATTAATTAGATGTATTTGTTCTAATTTCATTACAAGTATTTCTTAATTTTCTAATTTCATTACAGGTATTGCTTTTTTTCTTTCAAGCTAATTGTCATATTAATGCAAGATTGGAGTTTTTATTCAAAGACTATCATTGCTATCAGACTCCTTCCTATGAGAAATCTTGTCAACATGAGACCCGTATCTCTTTTTGATATCAGTGGTAATGAAAATGGATATAGTTCAGACTGCAAAGTTAATTTTGGGTTTGCTGTTGAACTTTGTTTTTCAAGAACTGCAGAAGCCTCTGTCCATGGAACCCTCATAACAATATGTATTTAGTGTAGAAAAATTTTATAGGAAAATTGTTTCAAGATTGAATCTTTTAAATAGTTAGGTGCTAAAAGTATTAAGCATAAAGAACTGTACTTTCAAATACTTTGTGTTATTGGCTTACATTCTCATATGATGTGTGCACACATTGAAAAAAAAAAAAAGTTTTTTATCTTGAATTCTATAAATATCAAATTAACATGTTAATTAATATTTGTCCCTCTGAAATATTTTAATCATTTGCTACCAGTGTGGTTTATGATTTGAGATTAATTTATGTAGTTATTTGCCACAGGTGTTTTACTACATTTCTATTTTTAAATATAAATTGCAGTATAGTAAAATATTTATAACTAAATTATTTTTATCTGTAATTAAGTTGTTTATTGCAGGTAATAAACTAAAAAAGTAAAGTTTTTTATTTTAAGCCTATGGCTCTAAAATACAAACTGCAAATTTTAAAAATTGTCGCCAGTTTCTCTGCTTTAATTTAATTCTTAGCAGAATTGTGAAGTAAGGAATTGTAGTTGTATTTACCATCTAATTGGTTTTGTCAATTATCATATAACCTGAATTGTGAAGCACCGCATTTATGTAAAACACAAAGTGTATTACAAAGTAAACATTAGCTTGCTCTGTTTCGATGTAATTATTCAAATTAAGAAAAAGCCCAACACTAAACTACATTTGCTTTGATATTGTTTTGTGTGTGGTCCTGTATATTTGTGAGAAATGTGAAGTGCCTTATTGTTACCCCTTAACTTCCCACACAGACTTGCAAAAATGGGTTGGTGGGAGGGTCGTGGGTTGGGAGGATTCTCTAGAAACTATTTTTAAATGAAAGTTAAAACAATCCAATGGCATCCGAGCATCGCCATCATCATTAAACTTTTTAGGAGTACAAAAGTGATATTAGTCTTTCATTGGTCATTTACAGTCATCATCAGAGGAAAAAATCGTATAGTAAATCGCGAGGCAGCTTAAAAGAGAAATAAAAAGCTAACTAACCTGTACTTATAATGTAAAGTAATTAAACACGGGTTGTAGATGTATAGTGTTCCTGCCTTTCAACATTAACTTGTATTATAGTGTGTTTTCTATTGCATCTACATATTATGAAAGGATTTGAACTATAATAGAAAGATGAGCATGCTGCTGAGATAATGTACTTTAAATGAGATTAGATTTTTGAAGTATTTATTTAAAGTTGTGGAATTTTTTAATTGATGCGTTAAATGTTGAGTGTAAACTTTTGTTACATTGTTCATGATGATGATGTGTTTCATTTAAAATCTTAAAATCAGTGTATATAAACATCCTAAGATTAAACATTTTTTACTGTTTTAAAAAAAGTTTGTAATTTCATCCTGTTCTCAGCAGCTGTTGATTTTTTCTAGTTGTTAACTTTTGAAATAAGGAATAATTAAAAAATGAATAGGGAACTAATGTGTCTTTTAATATAAGGAGTAAAAATAATTTTGTGATACTACTCTGCGTTTCTGTACTTTTAATGTATTTAGATTTATACATATGATAGGCCGCGTGGGAGGGATGGAATGAAGGGTGGGTATTAATTCATACACTTTTGACCTAGACGACCCTTGTATGTTGTGTGTGTGCGTATGTGTTCTGCCTATAGCAGATGTGTGACTGCTGTATGTAATTGTGTATTTGTACAAATTGCTCATTAAAAGACAATATTTCTTTTTGCATATGTTTTATCATTACATTCATTAGTTTGTTTTGAATTATATTATTTTGGTGGCTTTATATGTTGTTCTGGCTGTAGTTGAATCATTCCTATAAGCATCCCAGTTTTTATCTAGATTGCAAATATTTGGGATGACTTATATTAACAAGTTTCTTGGATGCTTTTTTAAGAACATTTTTTTGAAAATAGTGTTAGCCATGCATGAGCAGAAAACTGATTGTTCTAGTGTTATATAATTTGAGATCTAAGCTTAAAGTGTTTCTGCAAGTTCATTGCTTTTTTTTATTTTTATTTTTATTTTTTTTTTTTAAACTTGAATATGTTAATAAACTTTGTATGATATTATTCTTTTTGGAAATTCAGTTGTGTGTTTCTATAATAGCTTGTACACTTTATTTCCATTTTTCATTCATGTGTAGCTTTAGATCATTGAACATTTCCATTGATTTTATCATAAATAAGATTTATTTTCTCAAATATTTGATTAAAATATATAAATATTATTTTTTTGTACAGTATATTTGAAATGATCTGATTATTTCGCTTGGTCATTAAAAATAAAATATTTTGCTTCTATAAACATATCTTTTTTAAAGTACAGTATGTGTTTCTATTCTGTATTAGAGGGTATACTAGAATTAGTTTCAGAGTTTTTAGTATTAATTCCAAGTCCTAGTGTAGTAACATGATAATATGTAAAATCCTTTAATTTCCCTTAATGTATTTGACCAACCTTCCAGTATATTATCTTAAATTCTTTGTTTTCTTGCTGAATAACAAAACTAGTTTCCTTCCCTCCATTTGTTTGAAGACTATTTCATGTTTGATTACAAGTAATACTTTTGTATTATGAGCATATAGTATAAGTGATATTTCTTAATAGTAGCATCCAATGAATAATAACACAAAATATTCAGATTGTGTTAATTTGTTTAATAACTGTTTTAAATTTTAATGCTATAATATGTACCAACAACAATATGTATTTGTTTTGATGTAAGAATGATTATCTATTGCAAAATCACTTACAAAAATGGCACAACAAGCCTTATGTTTTGTCATCATACAGCTGTAGAAAAACGCATATTAAAATGTATCTTGTAAATTTTAGTTGACCTTCAGATTAATAATACTTAAATGATATTATTGTGGAATATATATGAATTTATAATATTACCTCAGAATATATAAATATTTACTCAGATCATTTTTTATTTCTCTCTATATTTAAGATATGTATAATATTTCCTGTTTGATTTTTGTTAAGTGTATAATTTTTCTTGTATACAGATTAAAATGTGTAATGAACTTGCAAAAATATGCTTTTGAATCTTTCATTTTAATTTTCTAAGTAAATATTTTGACAAATTTTAGTTCTGATTTTAATATTAAGTGCAGTAATAGTTATTGCATGTTAAAGCCTTTAAATGATGAAAATGTTTAAGATTTTTGCGTGATACTGAAGCTAATATTTATGTTGTGTATCTGGTTAGAATTTATAAATACTGCTTTATAATGAGTGTAAAAGTATTTATAGTGATGTGTGTAAAGATATACAGATGAATCATGTCGTTAATATGTTCTGTAACATTGGAGGTGTAAAATAAATATGCTAGTTGCTATTTCAGTTGTAAAACATCTTCTCCCTCTATTGGCACACTCTGCTTGAAAGAGTACTTATGTAAAGGGAGTTATAAGTTCCTTAGTAATTTTGTTAAATTATTTTCCTGAATCATTCGTTTTCCGTAACTGTGCTGTTTTTCATGTTAGGTGCAATTATTTGCATTAAGTCATTAAACTGAGTTACTGAAAGTGAACATGTAAATGACTTGATTGTAAAGAATTTTTTTTTTATATATAGAGGATTATCATTCATTATTTTTTCATTTTTTTAAGACTGTGATTTTTCTTAACTTGTTGTTAATAACATCTGTTTTAATTTTTTTTTAATTTAATAGCATCTAATTTGTTGACATTTTTTTTTTTTTTTTTTGTTTCAGTCTTTTAAATAAAATGATTGTTTATGACTATAGTGATTTTTTTTTTTTTATGTGGTGCCAAAGTAATGCTTAATCGCTTTTCAGTGTGGCATTTTCGAAGAAGAGTTTTGTAAAAATATCTGATGTTTTGACATTGAATATGTCTAGTTTATGTAAAGGTAGAATAAAATATTTAAAAAATTTTTGTGGGTAATGTTATGATTAGATGGTAAAAAAAGTTTAGTGCATTATTTAGTTCCTAGTCAAATTTTACTTTTAAAGTATTACTGCCACTTGAATCTTCCTTTGTGTTAATATTATATTGCACTTTCATGATATCAAATTACATTTAATCAATAAACATTTTCTTGTGAGTTTAAATGACTTAGGCTTCCCTGTTCTCATATGCTGTGCATTGAGCTAAAGATTTATACAGATATCTGGATATAACTATGTAATTCACATGCATAAGATAATAAAAGTTAGCCTTGTTAACATTTTATGTTTAGTATTGCTCAATTAACATATTGTAGGGTTTTAGTGAACCCTGTTTTGTGATTTTATCTTAAACTGGGATATTTTTCTTTTAATATTTATTTTATCCCATGTCTAAATAGTCTTCAGCCGATTTTCTTGTTCCTCATTCCATAAAAAGTTCTGTTTTATTTTAGTGTATGTATTATGTGTCACCTACCGTTAAAGCTTGTAAATGTGCCATTCCTAAACTTTTGCTTTGTTTGGTGTGTGTTTTTTAAATTCAAATTTCTAATAATTGAAGCTTTTTTTTGAAGTGTTGGGGCCATAATCATTAACTTGAAAGCTGATTATTTTTCTCTCTCCATAATACTTCATTTGTGAACAGTGGTGATGAAATACTTGCTTGTTCTTTTATGCTAAATAAAAATTGGTGTTTGAGGCTTGCTATGTGTGTTTTTCATTTTATGAAATTTGAATGTTTACATGTTTGTGATTATCGAATATTTGAAATAAATAATAATAATATATCTAGTAAAAGACTTAACTCATGATGGCAGTTCTATAAACGTCATTAATTACATTACTTTCTTTTGTAATCGAAAAGTAACTTTTAGGTCCTGCAGAAGTATCTAAATATATCCATGGGCAGGACCTATCAAAATAGCCTAAATATAATTATAAATTTCGTATTTCTAATTTTAGTTGGAAAGACTTTTTTTGTGAATATCGACTTTTTTTGTATTTGACAAAATTCACATCCAGTTCGTATCTAGGAATAAATATATTTTATATACATTTTAAATAAAAGCATGGAATGTAAGATTTGTAAAAAACAACAAAGTGTTTATTCATACTCATATTTCAAGATCATTGCAATACTTGCATATATTTTTATGTAAATTATATAACAGTTATAATTTAGAATATAGACCAATCCATACTGCACTCTACTTGACAAACAATTGTGAAACATTTTAATAAGCGAACATATGTAAATATGTATACTTCTTACAATGTATTTGCATGCAAGTTATAACTACTGATTTATAAGTATGTCATAATACTCTTATATAGCACCTGCATATAAAGTTGAGCAACATTTATACGTTTCTCATTTATATATTTGTATGTTATGTCATTTTGGTCCTCAGTCCTATTTATTTTAATAGCAAAATATTTCTTTTATATGTCGCATAACTTTGGTCATTTGCCTATTGTCATAGTCTAATGATTAACATGTAGGATTTTGGACAGGTTGCAGTTTCTTCTATCTACAAATCTTTCATTTCTTTTCTTATCATCAGTTTAGGACTGCACTATTTTTAATTAGTTTTGATTATTTTAGCATCTATACTGCTATTTTGGGACTATGTTTGAAAGCTGACACTTTTTGATGGAGGTAGGGTGTTTGAGCTGGATACTCTGGTATCTCACCACTAGTAAGAAAGAAGGAACGGAACGCTTTCACTCAGATGGAGATGGTAGTGTTGAATATTTTGTACATTTACACATGCTCTTGTATACTACATTACAATGCTGGACACCACAGGTGAGAAATTAATTGCAGAAAAACTTCAAAGTGTGTGGAAGATTTTGAGGAAGTTTGACTTCGTAAAATGTGAATGATGCATTTGCTAAGATATTTTTCCTTCCAGATAGCCAGAAAGAGAAAAAAAGATATAAATAGTGTAGTGATGTCATGATATTATCTCCAGGAAGTAATTCTTCTGTAAAAGTCTCAAATTTAGTTTTACACTGTTAAACTCATAGTTGTAAAAATTGGCTTCTGTGTAGGTTAGAATTCAAAATCTTAGCAAGGTCATTAAAAACTTTCATTGCAATTGGATAAATTCTGTTGGGGAAAATTATAAGGTTATTTTTTTTGGAACTGCAAATGCACTTTTTTGCATTGTTTTAATTAAGTGTTTTTGTTAACATTTTGCACATTAAGCCTAACGAGTTTGCTCACCAAAATTTTTATAGTAATTTTTAGTCAACGCGGTGCATTTGGTACATCTCTAAAATTCATGTTTCGATTCACTTGTTACTGTCTCTCCAAATAGAGAATATGTCTCGAAAGAGCAACTTAAATATATAGTTACATGTGTGTGGGTTCGCAATAGATTGAATGCACACAAGGCTGATGATTGATTTGGTAAAATTTATTTGATCGAAAGAAACACTTCAGAATTCTGAAACTTTCCACAGAAATAATCATATATGTGTTCACAATATCACAGTACAATCAGTAGGTACACTTCAAACTACTAAGAATGTTAAACACATTGCAATGCAAAGCGCGTGTTAAAAGGTTTCAATATTCCAAAGTTTCTTGGAACTAGGAACTCACAACAACATCTGAGGGCAGATGCTTTCTCCTGCCTTATGTAGTTTTCACCCAGCTGCCAAGAGCCAGAGTATGTGGTTAACCTATTGAAATGAATGACTTTAGGCTCAGAATTAAAATTAAATGACTTACAAATGCGAAATACAACGTAGGTCAGGCTGTGTAGGACTGCGCAAGGACCATCCCAAGGTGTCTGTAGTTTAGGATGGAGTCCTTTCTATCGAATCGAATTAAATCATCACACCTTCGTAGAATTGGATCTCTGATAGCTCTTGTGTCATATTGGGTCTTCATGTTCTCTGTTGCTAAGTTGACTCGCTCTCATGCAAAACTGTAAAGGTGCATCCGGAGAGCTACCAAACAAGAGATCACAAGGCAGACAAATGTCACAACTGAAGAGCATTTGGGATTGGGAATAGCGGTAATCTCGTGGACAGCAACGGCGATAAGCCAGTTAGAACAGTGGTAACTTCTTGTCCCAGTCCTGTTGGTTTCTATAAATCACCAATGAGAGGTTATTAAGGATGGATCAATTAAACCTGTCTACCGTGCCATCTGCTTGGCGATGTAAAGGTGTTGCTTGAAATTTTGTCGATGCCAACTAGCTTGCATAGTTGTTAAATTACAACAACGATAAAATTTCTTCCTTGATCGGAATGTAAATGAAGAGGAACATCAAACCTGAAAATCCAATAGTCAGGGGTGTTTGTGCTCCAGGGAAACCCCGGAATTCCAGGAATTTTTGAACTTCGATACCCGGAAATTCTGGGGATCGTCGTTCAAAAGGAAGTAGGAATAATAATGAATTATTTATTTTGATCTGGGTAATTTTGTTTGCTTTGAAAGCAGAAAACGCAAGGTCAGTGTGTGTGGTGAAAACTTTTCCTTCCTTTCTCCAAAGGCAGTGAGTGATAATGCGTGAAAAGGGGGGAAAAACTTCTTTTTTGTTTTTTCCTTATTGCAAGTTATGACTCATTCCCCTGGTTCTCGGACATTCTCTTCTGGATTCTTTTCGGCAAGTAGGCGCGGCAGAGAAAAAAGGGAGAGAGACTTCGTTCGACCAGATGTGCGATCACGTGACTCTGTGTTCAAAGGTCTTATCTCTCCTGGCGTGGCGCCGATAAGTAGAGAAGGGGATTTTTCACCGTATTAGCTATTTGTCATTGATCGTTTCTCAACTTTTTTTTCTCTGCTGTGTAAAATTTTCGTTTCATTTATTGATGCATGTGTAAATTTTTCGTTTCGTTTATTGAAATATTTTTTTATTTATGTACGCAATAGAATTTCACTATGAAATTTCTCAATATAAATAGTGATATTATACAATTAGAAGAAGGTGTCCGGAATGCATTTAGGTGGAATTGGATTGAACTGAGAGATGGTAATGGGGATACCATCAGCACATGGTGCAAGAAAATAAATGTTGCTGGACAAGCATATTGTGTGTTTTGTAACTCACTGCTGAAGTATGGTGGGGAAGGATTCAAGGCTTTCACAAATCATTCTAAAACTGTGACGCACATAAAATATTCAAAGTGCATTAGACATTCAATGACTTTAAGTAATTATGCTAATTCAAAAAATACTGATTACTTGCTGGAGACTGATGCTCGGCCATTGAATATAGTGATAAGAAAAGCACGCCAAGAGGTATTAATAACTTCGTTTATCGCCGAGAATTCATTTTCTTTCAATGTTGCTGCCAATTTAATTGAACTCTGCAAACAGTTGAGCCGCGATCAGACGGCACTAAACTCGTTGGAAATGTCCATGTTATAAGATGAAATATGGGCTCGCAAAAACTATTAAGGAAAATATCATTAAAACTTTAAAGGAGACTCCATTTTCTCTAAATTTGGATGAAAGTACTAGCAATGCTCAAGAAAGTATACTGGCAATATTGGTGCAGTTGAAACAACAATCAAAATGAAGTTGTAGTTCATCATTTTGCATCTCTAAAGATGGAATCTTGCAATTCAGAAGCTGTTTTTAAAGCAGTTGTTAATACTATTGAAGATAATAATATTCCATGGGCAAACTTAATTAGTGTATTAATGGACTCATGTAACACCATGCGTGGAAAAAAAAAGGGTGTTGAAACCAGACTACGATCAAACAAAGCACCTCACTTATAAGATATTGATGGTGACACATGTCACACAGCTAATAACTGTGCAAAAAAATTTGCTTCATGTTTTGATAGATACTTAGAAGATTTGTTTGATGACATCTATTTTGATATGAAAAGCTGCAGTAAAAGAGAAAATGTTTTCAAAATCTGTGAATCCCTTGCCATTAAAAAACTTAAGCCCTTGAAGAGACCAGACCATAGGTGGGTGTACATTTTATGTGTTTTAGAAAGAATCAAAGATCTGTGGGATGCTCTTATTGCATTTTATTTTCACTACTTGGATAAAACTGATAAAGGGGATTATTTTTCTTTATGTTGAAACTGTATACAATAAAAGAAATATTTCTGCAGCTCAGAAAAAAATTGTTGAATGGGTGTATTCTTGCTTGCATTCCCAACAACTCACAAAGGATGCTTTAGCTCCGAAAGAAAGAATACTAAATGGATTATTTGTTATGCAAAACAAAACTTTATTGCATATGGCATTATATTCAGCAGTATTACCAGAGTTCAACACATATATTAAATTATTTGAAACAAAAAAACCCAATGCTTCATTTAATACATTCGAGTATTTATAAATTTATGGCAAAATTTTTCTCTTTTTTTATGAAGCCAGAAAATATAGAGTGCACATCTTATAATGATTTATTAAAGGTATATGTCACAAATCCATAATTCCATCTACATAGCAAAGTAATATTTACTGGTGCAGAAGCTTCCACTCTCCTGAAGAAATTATCAAAAAATCATCCAATAGCAAAAGAATTCCAAATTTCTCTGATGAAAGCTTATACTAATACAGCACAGCATATGAAACAGAAATTACCCCTTAAAAATTCATATCTAATTAGTTTTACAGCATTAGATCCAGAGCTAAGAGGTAAAACCAGTACAATATTAGCTTTTGAAAAATTATCTTTTATGTCCCATATTTTTAGTGACAATGAAAAATTAAAAGTAGAAG